TTTTCTCTTTGAACTTACAATTTGATGCTGTTTGGCTTTTATGTCTGAATGTATTCTATACTGCTTGCCCCCGGCCGAGCTCTGTTGGGACCTTTGGGCCGAATAGGTGCTCGGTCTGATTCTATATTGTCTTTAAATAGATGCTCTGTCTGATTTCTGTACTGCTTGCCCCCGGCCGAGCGCTGTTGGGGCCTTGGGGCCGGACTGATGCTCGGTGTGGCATTGCACTATTTGCCCCCGGCCGAGCACTGTTGGGACCTCGGGGCCGAACTAGTGATCAGCGTGGCTAATGGATATGTGGTATGGCTGTGCTTTGAGTTCGTAAGTGGGTCTTACTTAGGTCCAGGTTGGTTTCGAAAGAAAAGAATTGTTTGCCCCCACCCGGAGCTAAGTAAGATCGATACTGAAGAGTTGTCCCTTGTATAGAACTGCTTGAGTTTGTTTCAACTTTGATAGTACAAGTGCATTTGAATGAGAGAAATGCAAAGAGGGATGTCTTACTCAGGTCCAGGTAGGTTTTAAAAAAAAAACAATTGTTTGCCCCCAGCTGGAGCTGAGTAAGGCTGATGCTAGAAGTTTGCTCTTGACGTAGCTCAGTTGAGTTTGTTCCAAGTCTGCTGGTTTGAATCAATACTGAAGTGTTGATGTGCTGATGCTTAAGAAGTTCCATAGGTGCAAAGATGTGTGCTTAAGATATGCCAGTGTAGTTTCCACCAAGCAGCTCCACTTGGCTGAATATAGATATTTTACTTAAGATACATTAGTGCAATTTTCACTAAGCAATTCCACTTGGCTAAATAGAGATGTTTACTTAAGATACATTAGTGCGGTTTCCACCAAGCAATTCCACTTGGCTAAATTCCAATGTAGTTGCCAAACATTTTTCCACCAAGCTATACCACTTAGCATGTTTGAGTGCTAACCAAATTTAAATTCCGTTCAGTCGTTCTGAAACTGAGCCATTTGGGTTAAAACCAAAGTTAATTCCGTTTGACAAACATCAAAGCTAATTCCGTTGGGCAAAGACCAAAGCTAATTCCGTTTGATACACATCAAAGCTGATTCCGTTTGGTAGAGACCAAAGCTAATTCCGTTTGGTAGAGACCAAAGCTAATTCCGTTTGGTAAGAACCAAAGCTGATTCCGTTTGGTAAGAACCAAAGCTTATTCCGTTTGGTGGGAGCCAAAGCTTATTCCATTTGATAAACATCAAAGCTAATTACAAGAATTGGATAAATCTGAGAAGAGTGGGAAAACATTTGCATTGGTCAACAAATAAGTGCCTTTACATCGTGATAGAGAAGTTAGGGGATGATTCTATTGATAGCATTTCTTAAGGTTTGCTACGTTTCAGGGCCGAGGTATTGCTTTGCCATTCAGATCCTCTAGGTAGTAAGCTCCATTTCCAACAACGGGTGTGATTTTATAGGGACCTTTCCAGTTCGGCCCAAGTTTGCCCTCACCAGGCACCCGTTTGTGATCCATGACTTTCCTCAAAACCAATTCTCCTGGTATAAATTGCCTTAGGAAAACTTTTTGGTTCAAACTTTCGATGAGCTGCTGCTGATATGCTTCAAGTCTGATCAGTACTGACTCTCTTCGGCCCTCTACCATATCCAGTGCTTGCGCGATAGCTTCCTCATTACTGGAGCTTTCAAATAATTCAGACCGAAGGGTTGGGAGACCTACTTCGAGTGGGATGATGGCCTCCATTCCATAGGTTAAAGAGTAAGGTGTTTCTCCTGTGGGGCGTCGTGCTGTAGTTCGGTAGGCCCATAATACGCGAGGTAACTCTTCAACCCATTTGCCTTTGGCATGTTCAAGCCGTTTTTTCACTCCGTTGATGATGGTTTTGTTCGACGCTTCTGCCTGACCATTGCTCTACGGGTACCCTGGAGAGGAGTTCCTATACTCAATTCTGAGGTCGGCACAAAATTTTCTGAAGATCTTACCATCGAACTGTGTTCCGTTGTCCGTAATCAGTACCCGCGGAATGCCAAAACGCACTACCACATTTCTCAAAACAAACCGCTTTGTGTCGGCCTCTTTGATGCTTGCCAGTGCCTCAACTTCAACCCACTTGGTGAAATAGTCGGTTGCAGCAATGAAGAACCGCCTGTTCCCAGTGCCTTGCGCCAATGGTCCAACGATATCCAATCCCCATTACGCAAAGGGCCATGGGCTGGTGAGTGGAGTGAGAGTTTTGGCTGGCTGATGAATGAGTGAAGCAAACCTCTGACATTTGTCGCACCTCTGTACGTACTACTGTGCATCTTTTTACATCCGTGGCCACCAGTACCCGTGAGTGAGGGCTCGGTGCGCTAGTGACCTTCCGCCAACGTGGCATCCACAAATCCTATTGTGAATTTCGTAGAGAACATTCTCGACGAGATTTGCATGCACACATAAGAGGTAGGGGCCAAGGTAAGAACGTTTGTATAGCTTCCCAGACGGTGAGATCCAGAATCGAGCTGATTTATGCCTGATCTTGTTGGCTTCCCTTCTGTCTTCGGGGAGTTTACCAGATTCAGAAAGACCAATATTGGATCCATCCAGCTCGGCTCTAAGTTGTTGTAGAGGACTGGAGATGCAATACTTGGTTCTGGTACAAACTCAACCCAAACTCTCCTGGCATCCTTTGTATCCACTGATGAGCCGAGGCATGCCAGAGCATCTGCGTGGCTATTTTTGTCCCGACCGATTCGTTCCACTCGTATGGATTGAAATTTTTTGAGTAGGTCTCTGGCCTTGCCTGCGTACATAGTCATTCTTTCATCTCGAGTTTCATAGACCCCAGAAATCTGGTTTACCACTAGTTGTGAGTCGCTGAAAACAAGAAGTTGTTCTGCACTGAAGTGTTCGGCGCTACGCAAGCTAGCCAATAACACTTCGTACTCGGCCTCGTTGATTGAAGCCTTCTAGCTTAGCCTGAGGGCCTGTTCCCAGATAAATCCTTCTGGAGAAATAAGAACTACTCCTGCCCCTGAGCCTTGGTTATTGGACGAACCATCGATGTAGAGTTGCCAGATGTTTCCAATAAAGAGTTTCCATGCTTCCAAAGCACTGGGTTTTCCTTGTTCGGTGGCGCATGGCACTTGTGCCGAACTCAGATTCCCCGGTTTGGTACTCTGAGTGGGAGTAAATTTTGCGACAAAATCTGCCAAGACCTGGGCCTTGATTGTTGTCCTGGGTTGATACTGAATGTCAAACTCACCAAGTTCTACCGCCCACTTTGCTGTTCGGTTAGAGAAATCGGCTCGACTGAATACAGATCTGAGGGGGAATTCAGTGAGGACGTCAATGGTATGCCCTTGGAAGTAATGTTGCAACTTTCTTGAGGCGATAAACAGCGCGTAAGCTAACTTTTCCAGTGGTAGATACCGTGTCTCGGCATCTAGTAAAGTCTTGCTAACATAATACTTCTCGAATTAATACTGCATCTACTGGTCTCTATTCTTTGTCAACTTCTCGAATTAATACTGCGCTCACGGCATGATCTGAGACTGCTAGATAGAGGTACAGCTCCTCTCCCGGTTCTGGAGTAGACAGTAGAGGAGGTGTACTGAGGTATCTTTTGCGGCTCTACAGTGCTTCGGTACATTCACTACTCAATTCAAATGCTGCCTTTTTCCTCAAAAGTTGGAAGAAGGGCTTCATCCGATCTGAGGATTTGCTAATAAACCGATTCAGTGCAGCAGCCATTCCGGTTAGTTTCTGCAGTTCCTTAGACTTTGTTGACACTTCGAGATCCTGTATTGCCCTGATTTGATCCGAATTCACTTCAATTCCTCTGTGAGTGACCATATATCCTAAGAACTTCCCTGTTCCTACCTCGAAGGCGCATTTCGAGGCATTGAGGCGAAGCTGGTGGTTTTTCAGCATGCTAAAAACTTCTCTTAAGTCTGTGAGGTGGTTTGTAGCGAACTTGCTTTTTACTACCATATCGTCTATATAGGCTTCCATGGTTTTCCCCAGTTGGTCTTTGAACATCTGAGTGATCATTCGCTAGTAGGTCACCCCGGCGTTCTTGAGGCCGAACAGCATTACTCTGTAGCAGTAAGTCCCTCTCGGAGTGATAAACGCTATCTTTTCTTGATCCGGACCAAACAGTGGTATTTGATGATAACGGCTATAAGCGTCCAGAAATCTCATGCGCTCATGCCCTGCTGTTGAGTCTACTAGTTGATCAATGCGAGGCAGCGGAAAACTATCTTTAGTGCAGGCTTTGTTCAAGCAATTGAAATCGACACAAACTCTCCATTTTCTGTTCTTCTTCTTGACTACAACTGTGTTAGACAGCCATTGCGAGTATTGAACTTCTCTGATTGCTCCCGAGGCCAGGAGTTTTTCGACTTCGGCAATTACTACTTCGGTGTGCTCAACTGAGGATCTCCGACTTTTCTGTACAATGGGCCGAGCTGAAGGATTGATGTTGAGCTTGTGGCAAGCAAATTCTGGGTCCAACCCTAGAGTATCATATGCTGACCACGTGAATACCTCTATATTTTCCCTCAGTAGTTCCAGCAGCTGAAATTTCTCATCAGCGCCTAGCGAGAGACCGATAAGGAAGTACTTTTCCGGGTCATCTTCTCTTACCAAGACTTTCTCCAAATCCTCTACCATCTTTTCCTCTGTAGTTCCCTCCACATCTTCCAAGATTGGCTGTCCGGCCACTTCTACCGTCTGTACCCGATTGCAGAGCTGCTTTGCCTTTAATGCTGCCATGAAACAATGTTTGGACGCAACTTGATCCCTTGAGATCTGCTCTACTCCGTGTTCTATTGGGAAACAGATGAGCTGGTGATAGGTTAAAGGGACTGCTTCCATTCGATGAATCCACGGACGGCCAAGTATGGCGTTATAAGGGGATGGTGTATTAATAACCAAGAACTCTATCTGGAGGGTTTTTGTCCCTGCTACGACTAGCAATACTATTCTGTTGAGCGGCCATTCCGGCTGTGAATTGAAACCAACCAACGGGGCTGCCGCTGGGGTGAGATGCTACTCGGAGAGGTCGAGCTTTCTGAACAAATCATAATACAGTATGTCTGCCGTACTGCCCTGATCTACTAGGACTCGTTTTACATCAAATCGTTTCCCAATCCCAACAGTTATAATCAATGCATCAGTATGTTGGTGCTGTATGCCTTCTAAATCTTTGCTAGTAAATGAAACAGTGCACAAGGGGGATTTAGGTACTGTACGCACCTTTTTCGATACCGGCTCCACTGACATGATTCGCTGAATTTGCGCAGCCTTAGCGATCTCTTCCTTCAGTGCCTGCTCCCATGGATCACATTTATTATCAGCCGGGGTGGATGCTCAATATTTACGTCTGGAGGTGGGTTCCCCAACTCGGCCACTTCCTTATCCTGATCAATGTATTCTCTTAGGTGTCCAGCTGCCATCAGGTCTTCCAAGTGTTGCTTCAGTGCCCTGCAGTTCTGAGTCATGTATCCCCTGTCTTGGTGGTAGGTGCATCTGAGCTTCTAATTGCGCCGAGCTGGATCTCCCAACATTTTCGGCGGCCAAACAAAGAAGGGCTCTTTCTTGATCTTTTCCAAGATTCGATAGATTGGCTCTTTGAACACAGTCACAACGGCTTCGTGGGATTTGGACATATCCACCTCATTCACTGCAATCCCTCGGTGTTCTCCTCGATCTGTTCTCTTCTTCTGCCGGGCTGTTTGTTCTGCTGACACTACCTCGATGGGGATCTGATCGTCTTCAAGACGAGCATACTGCTCAATCCTGGCGCGCAAGTCTTTCAAAGCTGTGGTCGGGCGCTTGGTAAGTGATTGTCTCAACTTACTTTCTGGGCGCACACCATGTTTGAAGGACATAATGGCCATCTGCTTGCTGCACACATTTTCTTCTAGATCATTATACTCTTCCCAGTATCTCCTAGCATAATTGCGCAGCGTTTCCTCTTGCTCCTTCCTGAGGCCGAACAGTGTATCCGGCTCTTTTGGGATCTTAGTATTAGAGACGAACCTGGCTAGGAACTCTTCGGACAACTGCTTCCAACCATGAATCGATCCAGCGGGGAGTCGATCGAACCATCGGAGTCCGATTTCTCCCAAGCTGGATGGGAAGACTTTGCACATCAGTGCCTGATCTCGGCTCCATAGGGACATCATCTGTCTAAAATGGCTGATATGTGTCAGAGGGTCCGATTTCCCATCGTACGAAGTGAACTTTGGTGGAGTGAACTTCTTGGGAGGTCTCATGGTCTCAATCTCCAGAGAGAATGGCAAAGAGACGAGCCTGTCCAGTGCTCAATGTTCTCTCTGGTGAACAGTATGGTCCAGATGATTTCGATGTTGCTTGTTTTGCCTATTGCCAATCAGCCAAGTGCGAAGGTCTTGAGAAGGGTATTCAGTTTGTTGACTAACTGTCTTCTGCCTCTTAGCCCTCCTCTGGCGTGACCCACGGGTGTGGCTACTCGCCGCTTCACTCTGTGCTGGGATGGGTAGGCTTCGTTGCCCGGAGTCATTCCTAGGGAATTTTTTCACTGGTAGTTCTCTAGACGAGCTCCTTTGTTGCAAACGAAAGGGCTCTACTTCCGTCCTCTTTTCCGTCGGATCACCCAACACCTTCTTAAGTTGAGCTTTCAATTCCTGTATCTCCATTTCCATGGAATCTATAATTCGATCTCTATAATCCTTTTCCAGAAGGAAATGATGAGAAGAACCTCCGGCGAAGGGCAGTCGATGCTTGACGGATTTGGGGGTTCGATTATTGTTTCCAGTTTGCTCCTCCAGAACTATTGGGAGTGCCAAACCTTTGTCCTTCGTTTTCTCCATCTGTGGAGTATGTGTTGAAGGTGGAATGTCCTCAATCCCCATTGCCGGAACTGAGTGCAGAGCTCAGAGATGAAGTGGTCCACGCTCACCGCACCAATTGTGCGTACCGGATTCCGCACTAGATGAAAGTGGATCGGGGCTCCGCACTCAGTTGGACTATCCAAGGACCGGGACTCCTTCCATAAGAAGCACCGTTAGAGCTGCCCGGCCGGGGTTGGTCGGATAACCCCTCCGGCATGGAAATCATTGATCGGAGAATGAATGTATGTTAAGTGTGATTAGGACAGTTCTCCTTAGTTCAGTTCAATTCAGTTACCTTCAATGTGAAGTTTATGAAATATATATAGTATTCCTTACTTGCTTCTCAAGGTGGTTTCATGGGGGTTCGATTATTGTTTCCAGTTTGCTCCTCCAAAACTGTTGGGAGTGCCAAACCTTTGTCCTTCGTTTTCTCCATCTGTGGAATATGTGCTGAAGGCGGAATGTCCTCAATCCCCATTGCCGGAACTGAATGCAGAGCTCAGAGATAAAGCGATCCACGCTCACCGCACCAATTGTGCGTACCGGATTCCGCACTAGGTGAAAGTGGATCGGGGCTCCGCACTCAGTTGGACTATCCAGGGACCGGGACTCCTGCCATAAGAAGCACCGTTAGAGCTGCCCGGCCGGGGTTGGCCGGATAACCCCTCCGGCATGGAAATCAGTGATCGGAGAAGGAATGTATGTTAAGTGTGATTAGGACAGTTCTCCTTAGTTCAGTTCAATTCAGTTACCTTCAATGTGAAGTTTATGAAATATATATAGTATTCCTTACTTGCTTCTGAGGGTGGTTTCATGGAATGTGGATGCTGTCAGGTGTCCTTTTAGCATTGCTCCAGGTGGGGGACCACCTGGTAGTTGTCATTGATTGCATATACTCATTGTAGGCTGCTGATAACAAATCACATTCCTTTAGTTCAACAACTTCCGTGATTCTAGGTGTGGGGGACCAGCTGAGGTGGCAACCTGCACATGTTTGCACTCACAGCTCCCACGTTTTCTTATGAGTTTTTTCCAGCTCGATACTCATGTACTTCAGTTCGGTACTGATGTGCCTCGGCTCGGTCTTTTTCAGGATCATTCATGGAGATGGGTTGGCCCATTATCTGTTTGGCCCACAGATTCCGTTTTGCAGCTCGGCCCAGACCAGCACTACGGCTGGGCTAGCCTTTCCACTGCGGGTTGGGCCCAAGTGCTTGAGGACTTGGGTGGACTGTTGATCATGAAGTTGGGCTCAACTGATTTGTCCATATACTCATCTGACCCACTTGGATTCGGACTTTGTCGGATTGGGCCGGCTCAAGGCTTGGACCTGACCAATTTCACATTTAGCCCCTTCAACCACTATGGGCTTGTCCGGGAATTAAAGGTTGTTTTGGAAATTGATCTTTTTAGTGATTCTATTTTATTTTTTTATAAAAATATGCGTAAAAAAAATAAAGAAACTAATTGACTTTTTTATAATGATTTTTTAGTTAAAACTTTATCTTTTAAAAATAGGATCAAGTTGTAGTAATTTTTTAATTAAAAACTTTATTTCCCAAACAAAGTTTCACATGTAGACTTTAACACTACGTGGTGTTTTGAGAAATGAGTAAAAAGTTAGTTTTTTAGTTTTTTTGATTTTTTGGTGACTTTTTGTGTAAAAAACCTAAAAAATAAAAAAAATTAGCTTTTTTAGCAAGTTTTCAAATTGCCCCCAATGTCTGGATTGAGAAAAGAAAAGAAATGGAAAGATATGTATTTTTCTTACTTGTTTGGATAACTTAAGGGGAGAGATGATGTGACATTTGATATGTGATACAAAAATTTACAACTCATAACTAAATATACAATTCAAAATTATTTTAAAACACATAAAAAATTTAAAATTTTTCAGAAAATATTTGTCCCGATTATGTAAATCAATTGCAAAAAATAAAAAAATAAAAAAAATCTGGAAATCAGCCGGACATCCGGGTGGACATCCGGGTGGTCTACCGGGTGGACATCCGGGTGGTCTACCGGGTGGTCTTCCTTTGGACAGAAAACACGCCTGTGTGCACAGAGTTCTCTGCAGAGAGTGTAGAAAATTGATTTGAAAACGTAACCAAACATCATGCTCCAAAACACACGTAGAAAATTGATTTGAGAATACAAACAAACAGAGCCTTAGTTTTTTAGTTTTTTTGATTTTTTGGTGACTTTTTGTGTAAAAAACCTAAAAAATAAAAAAAATTAGCTTTTTTAGCAAGTTTTCAAATTGCCCCCAATGTCTGGATTGAGAAAAGAAAAGAAATGGAAAGATATGTATTTTTCTTACTTGTTTGGATAACTTAAGGGGAGAGAAATTGGGAGAAATGGAGAGAAATCCATTTATCTTATAACCCTCATTTTTAATCTTCTTAAAAGTGAAGAGATTGTGAGAGAAAAGAAACCAACAAATTCTTATATTTTTATAATACTAATTTTGTCCTTATAAAAATAAAAGAAATAAAATAATTGACACCCATGTCCTCAAGGGCTTTTATGTTATTTTGGTAATAAAATATAAAACAATTTTTTTTTTCTTTTCTCTTATGAAATCTAACCAAACAAGAAGGAGAGAAATTACAATAATTTCTTTTCTTTTATTTCTTACTTATCTAAACAAGAATGAGAGAAATCACAATCATTTTTTTTTTCTCTTCTAGGTTCCCAAACATAGTGTGACATTTATGCTATAGTCCTCAAATTTATTTGTGTACTAAATTTTGGATATCTTGTGTGTATATATCTACATGAAAATGAAAGATAGAGACATTAATTCAATGCATTGGTAACATTAAATGATAATAAAAATTTGTTCTAAAAAAATTGATTATAAAAATTGAACAATGTCACATTCTTACAAAATTTTCCTACAAAAGTATCCCATTAATAATTTAGGAAAATTAGTCTAAGGTCCCTTTCCCATTTTTAGTAATTAAAGAGATCCACAATATTATTTTATGATGTCTAAGATCCCTCAATTCTACACCCTATATCACAGAGAAATTTAAATTTTCCAAATCAAATCTCATTTCTCTCTCACACCCTAAACTCTTTCTTTTCTCGCCGTCAAACACCTGCTTCATTAATTTTGTATTTTGTGTTTCATTAAGTATTTTCCCACATCGATCATATACAATCTTGATCACTGAATCACAATGAAAATTAGCCTCGGACTTTCAAGCAATCCGACATTAGGGCACAAATTATGTTAAAACCATAACAGTTTCACACAAAAGCATATATATATATGTACATACAAACACATATATGTATAGAAATATATATGGAGAGTGAATGAATGTGTACCAGAACTGAACCGAGCAAGTGGTTGGTGGGAAGGGTAGAGAAAGAATCATCCATGGATGGTTGTGTAAAAAGAGATCAAGAGAGAGAAATTGATATTCATTCGCATGTGATTGGATTAATCGAGATTGAGACTTTGAAGATTGTTGAGAACTAGTTCTGAGATCAGCCTCCTTACCTTGTTTTTTTTTTTTTTTTTTTTTTTATCAAGAGAGAGAAATTGATATTCATTCGCATGTGATTGGATTAATCGAGATTGAGACTTTGAAGATTGTTGAGAACTAGTTCTGAGATCAGCCTCCTTACCTTGTTTTTTTTTTTTTTTCTTTCTTTGAGTTAGACAATTTTATTTGGATTTGGTAATTTTCTCTAGATTATTCTTGAATTTTCTCTGGATTTTGGCAATTTTCTCTAAATTATCGTTGAATTTTCTTTGGATTACCCTTGAATTTTTTCTGGATTTGACAATTTTCTCTGGATTATCGTTGAATTTTCTTTGGATTTGGCAATTTTCTCTGGATTACCCTTGAATTTTCTTTGGATTTGACAATTTTCTTTAGATCGATGTTGAGGGACCTTAAACATTATGAAAATATTATATATCCTTTATACTATAAAATCTTAATACTAGGGATCTTAAAAAAAATCTCCCTAATAATTTCTTACCGGTAAGAATTCACCATTATAGAGGAAGTGAGTACGGCACCATGTGAGAGGAGATGTTTTTGTGGGAGAAATTTGTGGAAATGAATCATTTTTCATAAAAATTTGACCACTATAATATTATTCGCTCTATTCGGTTTCAATTTTCAGAATTTATTTTTCAAAAAAATTTATATTTTCATTTTCCGTTTTTTTTTTCACTGATTTTTTTTGATATTTTAAGTAATTTTTAAATACACATAACATAAATACACTTAAAAAGTATAATATTTGTGAATTTTTAATATCAAAAATACAAAAAAAAAATATGAAATTTCAATATATTTTTCATATTTTTGGGTATTTATGAATTTTTAAAAATATTTTTTTTAAAATATTTTACTATTTAGATACCTCTAAGTAAGATA